GGGACAAACTTTAGCAGGGCCTGTTGTGCTTGGACAAGGGGTAATGGTTTTAAACTAAAAGAGTGTAGATTTAGACTAGGTATAAGGAAGACATTTTTTACAGTGAGGGTGGTGAAACACTAGAACAGGTGTCCCAGAGAGGTGGTATATGCCTCATCCCTGGAAACATTCAAGATCAGGTTAGACAGGGGCTCTGAGTAACCAGATCTAGTTGAAGATGTCCCTGCTTATTGCAGGGGAGGTTGTTCTAGATGACCTTTAAAGGTCCTATCCAACCCAAACTATGCTATGATTCTGTGATCACTCAGTGTCCTGGTTTCAGCTGAGACTGAGTTAATTTTCTTTCTAGTGGTTATTGTGTTTCAGATTTGTTATGAAAGGAATGTCAATAATATATGTTGTTCTGGTTGTTGCCAGGAGATGTTTATAGTTTTCAAGGACTTGTTTCAGCTTCCCATAGAAGCTGAGATGAAGCCTAGACATAACAATGGAATGGCCAATGGAATATTCTGTACCATAGACCTCTGCTGGGTATATAAATCGGGTCATCCAGGAGGTGGGTTCTCACGATTGCTGCCTTGAGGGTGCCAATTCACTGGGTGGTGAGAGTGACTTGTGTCATTATTATTGTTATTTTCCTTTTCTGATATTGTTCTATTAAACTGTCTTTATCTCAACCTACAAGGTTTTTTCCCGTTCCCCTCCTTTTCTCCCTCTTCTCCCTACCCTTCTTGGGTGAGTAAAGGGGGGTGAATGAGCAGCTATATGGTCCTAGTTGCCAGCTGGGGTTAAACCACGACACTCGGCAATTACCGTCATGGATAAAAAATACTCGACTCAGGGAAATTAATTTAATTTATTACCAATCCAATCAGAGTAGGGTAATGAGCAATAAAACCAAATTTTAAAGCACCTTCCCCCTACCTTTCCCTTCTTCCTGGGCTCAACTTCACTCCCGAATTCTCTACCTCTTCCCCCTGAGTGGTGCAGGGGAATGGGGGTTGCAGTCAGTTCATCACACGTTGTCTCTGCCATTCCTTCCTCTTCACACTCTTCCCCTGCAACAGCGTAGGGTCCCTCCCACAGGAGACAGTCCTCCATGACCTTCTCCAACGTGGGTCCTTTCCACAGGCTGCAGTTCTTCATAAACTGCTCCATTATGGGCCCTTTCCACAGAGTGCAGTCCTTCAGGAACAGACTGCTCCAGCATGGGTTCCCCACGGGGTCACAAGTCCTGCCAGCAAACCTCCTCCAGTGTGGACTCCTCTCTCTGTAGGGTCACAGGTCCTGGGAGGAGCCTGCTCCAGCATGGGCTCTCCATGAGGTCACAGCCTCCTTTGGGCACACCTGCCTGCTCTGGTGTGGGGTCCTCCATGGGCTGCAGGTGGATATCTGTTGCACCATCAACCTCCATGGGCTGCAAGGGAACAACCTGCCTCACCATGGTCTTCACCACAGGCTGCAGGGGAATCTCTGCTTGGGCACCTGGAGCACCTCCTCCCCTTCCTTCTTCATTGACTTTGCAGAATTGTTGCTCTCACATATTCTCACTCCTCTCTCCCAGCTGCTGCTGTTCAGCAGTATTTTCCCCTTCTTAAATATGTTATGACAGAGGCACTATCACTGTTGCTGATCGGCTCAACCTTGGCCAGTGGTGGGGTCTGTCTTGGAGCTGGCTGGCACTGGCTCCACTGGACATGAGGGAAGCTTCTGGCATCTTCTCAAAGAAGCCACCCCTGTAGCCCTCCTGCTACCAAAACCATATCACAGAAACCCAATACAGCGTTGCATATGGGCGGGGGTGATGTGTATGTTGTGCTAAGGTAGTAAGAGCTGCATTAATATAGTGACAACTATAAGATGCTTAACTTGGTTACTACAGTGTTATTCCTAATTGTTTAGCAGCTTTAATGAATATGTTTCTTTTTGGAATGGGAAGAATCACTAACTTTTTATTTCTCTTGTTTCTTTCAAGCTGTAGCCCTGTATCTTGCTAACCAGTGGTGGTCAATTGATGACATTGTGAGAACATCTGTCACTTCTAGAGAGGGGCTTCAGCAGGTAAAGTGCTCCAACATTCACCTAGCAATTATTCTTATCCTTCAAGATAATGACAAGTAATGGCAAATAGCAAGTGTGTCAGATGTTACATGTTTTCATTTCATTGAGAAATGAGTTAGCCGTTTCATGCCAAAAGCAAGGTCAATGGGAATAGAGGAAATAGGTACTAGGGGGAAGGGTTGTGAAAATAGTGTCAAGAGAAAGAGGGACTCTTGTATAGTAGCTTCATATGCAACGTATTTAGATGTTAATGATGTTAAGAAGAGTTTTTTCCTTACTCTTTAGAACATAATATGTCTGATTGTATTGAAACGTAGTAGAGTGGTGTGTTTTATCACAGTGGTACCTATTGGTCTTATCAGGAGAATAGTAAGCTAAAAGTATCGAAAGGAACCTGTTTGATAGAGGCATGTTGGAGCTGGTGGTCTGTAGTGGCGATACATAAGGTTTGGGCAAGTAAGTTGCCTGGTATCTGCTTTATTGCTCATCAATGAGCTGTGTTACCATTACTGATACCTACCTAGTACGGAGTTTTGGTTTCTTCCAAAACTGGAAGAAATTGGCCAAGAAGGCCAATAGCCATCCTGGCTTGTATCAGGAATAGTGTAGTGATCAGGAGGAATAGTGTAGTGAGCAGGAGGACTAGGGAAGTGATTGTCCCCCTGTACTTGGCACTGGTGAGGCCCCACCTTGAATACTGTGTTCAGTTTTGGGCCCCTCAATACAAGAAGCACATTGAGGTGCTGGAGCATGTCCAGAGAAGGGCAACAAAGCTGGTGAGGGGTCTAGAGCACAAGACTTATGCGGAGTGGCTGAGGGAACTGGGGTTGTTTAGTCTGGAGAAAAGGAGGCTGAGGGGAGGACTTATGGATCTCTACAACTACCTGAAAGGAGGTTGTAGAGAGGTGGAGGTTGGTCTCTTCTCCCAAGTCACAAGTGATAGGACAAGAGGAAATGGCCTTAAGTTGTGCCAGGTGAGGTTTAGATGGTATATTAGGAAAAAATTTCTTCACCAAAATAGTTATCAAGCATTGGAACAGCCTGCCCAGGGAAGTTGTGGAATCGCCATCCCTGGAGGTATTTAAAAGATGGGTAGATGTGGTGCTTAGGGATGTGGCTTAGTAGTGGTTTTGGCAGTGTGAGGTAGATGGTTGGACTCAGTGATCTTAAAGGTCCCTTCCAACCTAGACAATTCTATGATCGTGTTATATGTTGCATATTATGCATAGATTGTGTTATGAAAACCTGTATTTTTCCAGGAGTGTAATTCGTATCTAGACACTCATCTTTGATTTTTGTATTTAAACTTACTCTAGAGAATTTGGCGTGTAGCCTTGTTTTTTGTGTGCTTCATAATGGTAGAATGGTGTCCTGGTTCTGGCAGGGATGGGGTCAATTTCCCCAAGGAGCCGGCAGGGGGCAGGTATTCCATACCATGTGACCCATGCCCGGGGTATAAGAGGAGCTAGCCGGGTGAGGAGAGCAGTCGCAACTTGGGGGTGGGCTGTGGTGGTGCGGGTCTGGTCAATGTGCTTTGTGGTGGTACTGTAACTGCGTCTTCATATCCCTTTATCGGTGTTATTGTTTTGTTTTCATCTTCCCTTTTGCTGCTCTGTTAAATTGCACTATTTTAACACACGAGTTTTTTCCTGTCTTTTTGCCACGGCTGTGGGAGTTGCGTGAGCAGCTGCATGGTTCTTTGTTGCTGGCTGAGGCCAAACCACAACAGTCTTTTTTGGTGCCCAACGTGGGGCACAAAGGGTTGCAATAAAAACAGATCTGACCGGAGCTTGTTAAAACGAATTTCTTGTATCCATTTCCCATATTGGTTAGATAATTGCCGGTTACAATGTTGCTTCATTTGTTTGCATGGCTGTGTTTTGTAAATTCTTATATGCTCTATGTATTCCCTGTGATGCTGTTTGTTATCTCGGGGAGAGGGATCAGGATTATCATTTTGCTGTTGTGTGCAATATCAGCTTATGATATGATAACATCACTATTGAAGTGGCTTTGTTGGGGTGTCTATGCAGTATTGCTGTCCTGTCCATACCTTGGTTACCACCTCTCAGAAGTTATTCATAATCACACCCAATCTATGGGAGAGACAGGGGGAGATACTTTCCCCAGCTCTTTTGCCTCCCTTTTCTCCTTTGGGCCAGGTATGACACCTCTTGAGAATTT